GGGGGGGGGGGGGGCGCTCACCCCACACTCGTTATCGACAGCCTACCAAGATTCCCCACCGACAGGCTAGGCTAGCCCAACGCCATTGCCATGGCGACCCAGCATCCTAAAGACGGCGGCCGAGGGGGCAGGCATGATGTCATTGTATGGGCGATGGGTTCGGGGGGTGGGAGGGGGTAGCAATCCGATCCTGAGAAAATGATGTCACCCATTGTAGGCCTGGTCCATTGAAGGCTTTAGAAATGTCGTTAATTGAGAGTAGCGGAGAGGTCACCCCCCCTCCCTGCCCCCCCCAGGCAGCGTGTGAGAAAAAACGGGGACAGCGGCAGCATTGAGCACATGCTAATACTGGCGACTATAAAGATGTCACTGGGCAGGGCTGATCCCCCCGCCCACCCCCGCGCCCCCTTTCTCAAACGAGGTGACTTTTCAGATTTACCCCTCCTGATGCATTCGCACGCCGTGTCAATAAGTCGCAGCCGGTGGGAACAGAGAATCACACGGTCTCCCCCCCCCCACCCCAGGTGTCTTTTGTTGTTCTGCAGAGCTGCGAGGACACCCCCCTCTGAGAGCAGACCTCCCCCCCCAGGTCTGAGGTTTCTTATATTTTTTACAAAGTCCTACAATATTGGGCCCTTGTGGAAGCTGATGAGGGACATGTTGGAATGAGAAGTAACAGGTAAACAACCTGGGAACACAAACACACACACACACACACACACACACACGCTCGTGTAGGGTATACATATCCTTATGGGGACCACTCATTCATTTCAATGGGAAAAATGCTAACGCTAACTGTGACAACCTTAACCCCTACCCTGCCCTAACCATAACCATAAGTAACCTAACAAAATAAAAGAGTTTTTGCATTTTTAGTTTTTTCATAGCAGTCAAAATAATATATATAATAATATAAAAAATGGATATTTATCATGTTATGGGGACATTATGTCCCCATAAGGATAGGTAAACCCGCACACACACACACACACACACACAAACACACACAGACACAAACACACACAGACACAAACACACTCACACACAAACACACACACATTCACACACAGACACAAACACACACAGACACACACACACTCACACGCTGACACACACACACACACTCACACACAGACAAAAACACACACAGACACAAACACACACAGGCTCACAGACACAAACACACGCAGGCACACAGACACACGCACACAGACAGACACAGACACACAGATATGCACATATACACACAATTTTCAGAATCTGAAAGAGTTGTCCTTTGAAAGACACTTGGCCAGTCATTCGGACAGAGGGGGGGCACTGGCCTCTCTGAGTGAGGGGGCTGTAAACACGTGCAGCCAATGGGGGCCCACATGGGCCACAGGGTTTGTCACAGACCAAATTCACCGGGATGGAAAAAATAACCCTGGAAAAAAACCCACCAAAAATTTTCTGCGCTCAGCCACTGTGGAATTTCCAGAACAATTTCATTTTCTTTGAATGCCACATAAGAGTGGGGGACCTTCGGAAGTCCTGTGACCATCCTGACATCCCTTCTAAATGACCTTCTTTCCACTAGGCCATCAGACTGCTGAATACTCACCAGTAACAATGGGCACCAACACTCAGCCATTTACCACACATTACACATGATGCTCTTCTGCACATTAACTCTACATTCTTATTACATAACTGCATACACTTTTGTACATACATAGATTTGTCAAATGTTTCATGTTTTATATATTCATACTTATATTTCAATTATATGTTAATCACACTACGGCTGCTTCGAGAGGCTTTGCACACAAGTGTTTCACTTACATGTATTGTGTACTGTGTACTGGTGACAAGTGACATGACAGTAAAAGTGATTTGATGTGGTTTGATTTGATTTGATTTGATTTGACAAGGAAGTCAGGAGTCACCCTGCCAGGCTGCTCAATGTCCCAGGATGCTCTCTGCTCCTGAGATAGAGCACTGGGCATTATGCTAGACCAGGGGTGGCCAGTCTTATCCGCAAAGGGCCGCTGTGTGGCAGGTTTTCGCTGCAACTCCCTAATTAGGTCACTAATCAGAGGACTGATTGGCTGAAGAGTCCTCACACCTGGGTTTGAGCAGCTGACCTGCAGGTTACCCCAGAAACCTGCACACACACCGGCCCTTTGCGGGTAAGACTGGCCACCCCTGTGCTGGACGGAAAACGGAGAAGGTGGGAAGCAGGGCAGCGGCTAAGAAGCGGAGAAATGAGGCTTCAGAATGGGCGGGATGACTCAGTCACTGATTTGAGCCAATGGGTACAGATCTCACCCATGTAGTAGCCAATGAGAAGTAGGTTCAAATAGTCACTCTGACAGTGCATGATAATTCAAACTTTAATTTCTCCCATTGACATTGTAAAGGCTCATGCATATTTATCATCCAGTAGGATGCAAGATCACCAGGTTGAAGCAGAATATACAGCTGCAGAAATGGACACGTTTTTGGGGGCGGGGCTGCATAATGATGTAATAATTATGTATGAAAATGAGAATTTTTTTTATAATGGAAAATAACAAGGCCCAAAGCGGAATGTGTTTAATGTCGGTGTTTTATTGCGCCAGTGACCTTCCTGGGCAACTGACAGGCGGTGCTGCCTGGCCCACCCGCCACAGGACGGAGGCGGGACCCGGGACAGATGTTACCCCCGGTCCATTTGTCGTGGAGGTGCGGTCCATTTGTCGGGTGCGTGCATGCAGCCCGTCGGAAGGTCCAGGTGAAGTCATCCTTGCCTGACATCCATAGTGGCGTGCGGAGCGGCACCTGGGCGCGGCCCCCGGACCCTGGCGCCAACGACCACGCCACAGATTTACAATAGCACAGCCAGAAAAGAAAAAACCATACCATTTGTCCACATGGCAGTGCCAGGCCCAGCCCTGGAGGATTCTGGGATACGGTTGAGTTAGCTGATGTCAATGGCAAGAGACGGTGAGTCGGTTTTCGTGATTAGTATTAGGTTAAGCTTCCGAGGGGCTGAAACGCTGTGAACACTGTGAATGTTAGCTAGGCTAAGCACACAGGATGTGACGTCGTCCCACAATCCGTCTGCGTCTCGTCCCTCTGTAGGTGCTATTGCCATGGGATTCCTGAAGAGGGAAGGGGGGGTCAGCACCTTAGTGAGATCACCTCTTCCTGGAGGCGCCGGCCCCCCAGGCCGAGACCACCTTGGTCCCCAGAGAGACGCAGCAAAGCCAACAAACAGAGAGCAGGTGGGCTGCCCGCTCACTGCGCTCTGGATGCACGCCACAGGCAGTGAGTCACGCTGCCCACAGGGTGACGACACCACCAGGTCGGCCCCCCCGCCGCCTTGGACAGCACAGCCGGCCCAGAGGCGGGTGGGGGCAGTCCTTATGGACCACACATCTGAACATGGCATCTACGGAAACAGATCCATGCGGCACCAGGCTCAACATTTCAGACAAGCTAAATAAAGATGGGATGGGAGCCCCCCCGAACCCACAAAGAAAAAATGAATGCTCCGTTCGGTAGAAGCGTGCAGAAGGAATATCAATAATGGAGAATGGTTCTGATCCAGTTGGTTGGCTTCACGCCACATTCCTTCCGTAATGTTTCTAGGTGAAGGGTCACCTGGGGGGTAAATCTGTTCTGATGCCAGGTTCCCGTTGGGTCGCCCCCAGGTTCCCGTTGGGTCACCCCCAGGTTCCCGTTGGGTCGCCCCCAGGTTCCCGTTGGGTCGCCCTCAGGACGTGGTCAGGGCGTCTCCACCCAACATCTTTGTCCTTCTCTGAAACCAACATGGACAACATGGGCACTGGAATGTAACTGTCCATAGCAACGGTTACCATAGCAGCGCATGGCAAGGAGGGCAGCGGGTATGCTGGATGTAGAACAGTGTTTGTGGATTTGAAGGTGGTAGGTTCAAGTCCCAAAACTGAGAGTGGGACACCCCTCTACATGCATTGTGGGGCAGAGCTGCTGCCATCGAGTGCTTTAATACGGGCACGGATGGTGTCTAATGGGATGCCACCAGGCTTATTTTTGTTTTTTCATTAAATCATGGCCCAGCTTTTGTCCCCAGTGCTGAAAGACAGGATTAAATGGAGTGTGGGGAAGGAAAAACGATGTGTGTGTGGTGGGGGAGGGGGGGGCGACACGCATATTTCGAACCTACACCCTCTGCCCAGATGCCCCCCCCCACCCTCCCCTAGATAGGGGGCAGAAACCCAGGGATTATGGGGTGATACTCTACACTACAGAGGCGTAAACCCACACCTCTAACGCAGTGGACTGTCTAGGACGTGGACCTCACCTCTGGCTGCAGTGACACCTTCGCCTCCCAGGGGGCGCTCTTGTGGATGTGGAGCAGGGGCAGATCTGAAGGGACGCAAGCAGAAGAGAAAGGGATCAGAGGGAGACTGAACGCCGTAATGGCGAGTCTTAGTGCCGCAGATCGGAGTGACTGACATGAAGACCTTGTGTAAAAAAAAAAATAGTACATAACAGTATGACACCAGCTTGGATTGACCCAAACACCAGGACAAACATGCTTCCCTATCAAACACCCCGAACCGTGACAGTGTTAGAAATACCCGCAGTGGCACATCGCTAAGCGCAGAAGCCCTATTGGCTACAGTGTCTGCCGTTTAACCCCCCCCTTTGGCGACCGGAGCAGCAGGGCCTTTGCTGTGACAGCAGCACGTCTCCCAGCATCCACCTGCCTGCTTTCTTCATGACACCTTTCGATTTGTCTGCCGGATCTCGGTGTGTTCCTCAACACCGCGAGGACGTAAAGACCGTACTTGTGGTCTTGGCAGAAGCCACCATGCCAATTTGCCTTCCAAGAACGAACTCGGGGCCCGACGAATCATGGGATCGGTCTCGTTCAGCGAGGATGCAGCCGACGTGTCCTTGATATTTGGTACAAGAACAACATCCGGGGGTTTTTACTTTCCTCCGTACTTCTGTTCTTGAGTATTGGAACTGATCTTCAACAATGGAAGACGATGTAAAATAAATATGCGAGAACACAAGTACAGTCAAGTAGACATATTGAGACACAGGGACTGGGTGCCAGGCGACCATCTGATGAACCGCTGCGCTGCAATCGTCCCCTTCATCAGTAATCCTGCTAAAGGAATTAAGGAGACGACTTTTACTCCCTAAACGAGTGAGGTTTCAAATACAACTGCAGCTCCCCTTGGGGGATTCGATCTATAAAACCATAATGGCCTTCCCTTTTCCCCTGCACCCCCAGCATAAACCCTGCTGACAGACACCTTCCCTCCTGTTCGTCCCCCAGACTGGACAGGTCACCATGGCAACTAATGCACCGTCTCCAAGAGACGAGAGCCCTTCACTTCAGGACCCCGAGTGAAACAATTCGGCCGCGGGCCTGGAATGTGTAAAGTAAGGTAAGTCACATGATGCGGTACAGTGGCGGAGAGGGTATCCCAGGCTGCTTAGCGGCGAGCTGCCTGCCAATCACACGCCTGACAGGAAGGGAATTTAACACACTGGGGCATCACGCGGGAGATGAGGGGAGGCCCGGAATTCTCAGGAAACTTTACAAAAGGTTAAGGAAAGAGACTTATAACCTGACCGGGGATCTGCTGGTCTGTGGGTCAGCTGCTTAGGATTCTGGGTCTGTGATCAGGAGGTCACCTGTTTAAATCCCGCAATCAGCAAAGTTACACTGTTGGACCCTTGAGCGAGGCACTTATTGCTTTCAGTACAAGTGTCTGCTGAATACATTAATCTAATGGACCTCTGGATCAACTGCTTAATTCCAAATTTGTGCTGTAAAATGAAAGAGGGAAAAAACTGATGTACTGTGCAGGGGGAGGGAAAACAGGCTGTGTCTCCAGTGTAGGATGTGGGCTTTATAAAGGGACCCCCAGCCCAGTGCTCCCTTTCACAGAGACACATTACCCCATGCGCCGCCTCCCTCGTCATGTGACAGGGGATTTAAGGCTCTGGATTCGTCACTGTCAGGTTATCAGCAGCGCGGCTCAGTGTGATGCAGACATGCAGCAGGTGGACGATGGCCGCACAGGTGAGAGGTGATGGTTCCACGCTGGTCTCAGCTGCCGGGGGGGGGGGGGGGGTTGGTGCGGGGGCATGTAGGGAGAGAAAGAAAACTAACTTAGTAAGCAGAGACTTATGAGAAAAAAACAGGGATGATCTTGGTTAGAAAGAGACATTTTAAACAAGCGTAGCTAAAATGGAGTAGGTGAAAAAAGCAGTCTTGTTTGGAGAGAGAGAAGGACAATGAGACTGGTTAGTGGATCCTGGGATATGTGCTGAATCCTTACGAGCCCCTGCTCTCTCGCTGTCTCCCACCCCAATCCCCCACAGACACCCCGTCCCCCCAGTGGGGGAAAACAAGTGCCCCCACCCAGCAAATAAATCATTATCAGGGATTGTTCTGCAGGATATTTTGAAATGCAAATGACTCTGTGGACCACAGCCAACTGACACCTCCCCCCCGATTTAAATAAGGGAGGGGGGGGGGGAGCATTGTGACACGAGGTATGGTATTTGGGGCAGGGGGTGGGATTGTCCCCCTGGGTGCTGGCAAACGCTGCAGGGAGCAGGGTTACATAAAGCAGCGTCCCAAGTGCCGGAAAACTCAGAGGAACGGAGCCGCTCCGGTTTGAGCCGGATGGCAGTGGGATCGGTGAGGAGGGGCGGTTCCAATCCCGAGCCCCATTAAACTTCATCATGTGAGCCCACTCCGCAAATCTGATTAGCAGGCTGAGCTGGGTCCCTACTGGCCAGGCCAAGGTCCAACACCTGACCCGGCGAGCTGGGACACGCAGCATGCTGGTCCCGACAGCTTCAGCGCAGTCCAAACCAAGATTGGCGGCCGTGAGCCGCAGACTGACCCGGATGGGCATCAGATCAAACCCCGTCCACAATGCCTCACCACTGAAAAGCAAATTTCCAAAACTCACTAAATTTGGCAGAATGCACTAAGACCAAAGAAATGGTTCTTACTCACAAAATGGACCAAGTGAGTTTTAAAGCTTTGCTCTTTCGCTTGGGTATGTATTGGAGACACTGCTGGGCAGGCCTTTGTGTGCAAAGCGACTTTCACACTGAATCATACTGATTAAAACCAAACTGGCTTTGCTCTAGGTCTCGAACACAACCGAACCCGGGCCTTAATTAATTAGTGCCTGGCTGATCTGCTACAGAAAGAGTGAAAAGGCCAGTGAGGTATTTCCACAGGATAAATCACCATCTTTGCAGAAGAATTTAAAAGTTTCCAGGTTCAATTTAATCCGAGACTCTGCTTTTCTAAACAAACTCAGTCTAAGATGGAGAATGGCTTTAATAATGTTGTTTTTCACACAGGCAGCTAGCTGAACACCTGGATTGGGCCTCGTTATCTGCTGAGAGTCCCCAGCCGGGAGTCCCCAGCCGACGCCTGGATGCGTGGCCCTACATGGGGGAGGACCCCGTCGCTTCCTGGGGGCCGGTCGTTTGCACGCCTGGACGGCCTCAAGGAGAGCGATAAGGCAGCGTGCGGTGGGGGGGGGGGGCATTTATCTCATCCGCGCACAGAAGCGCAGGTGTGAAAAGACACAGAACGGGGTCTAGGGCTCAAAATCACCAAACTGAACAATGGTATCAGCAGGCCTTGGCCGAGCAGGCGGGGGGCCGGAGGGAGCTCCCTGAATACGGTGGGGGGGCGGGGGGGGGCACAGAGGACTGCGATTAACCTGCAGACGTGGAAATAACAACACAACACAGAAGCAAGCTGTTACATTAACGACATTCAGAATTTCAGTTCATATCGTCTCAGCAGATAGTCTTGCGGACAGTGGCATTGCTACGCATTCTGCCGGCCACAGCCCCGGACCCAGTCCCGCTCCACGCAGCCGCTGAGCCCCCCCCCCTTCCTGCCCGGGCGATACGTGCCTGCCAGACGGGGGGGCGGGGGCGGCTGCTGGTTACATAGGAACCAGCCACTTCACAGTGCTGCAGAAAGTGTGACACTATTCCCGCCCCCTCGTCTCACAGAGACCATGAGCCTCCCCCCCCCCCCTCGAGCTCAGGTCTTCCGGAGCCAGTCTGATTCACCAGAGAGGTTCTGCTCACTGGGCCACACGCTGCATCGGGACCAGGGTCTGCTTGCTGTCTCTCGTCCTCACTAAATCACTCGCTCTCTCCCCCCATCCCTGCTTTCCAGAATCTTCTTCCCTTCATGTTTCTCTCTACTCCCAGGGATGCTTCTTCACCTCATGAAATCGTGCGGCTCTGATTGCCCACACACTCGCAGTCTGGAAAGGCTGGAGGAACCTCAAGCAGGAAGTGCCTGTAAGATCTTAGGGGGGGGGGGGGGATTTAGACCCCCCCGTGCTGCCGAGCTTACCTGCTACACTGTTTATTGTCCATCCCGCCACAGTGAGCTATTACTCCATTTCACACTGACCTTTCTGCTTTTAACAGACAGCCAAATTGCAAGTGTGTGTGTGTGTGTGTGTGTGTGTGTGTGTATCCTGTCTCCCTGAGGTGCCCCAAGGCATTCTGGGTACTGCAGAGTTAACACTGACAGGTCACCTGGAGGCGGGGGGGGGTTATCCCACAGGCCCTCTGCACCCCTGGTCGGCTGTTTAACCCCCCCCCGCTAAGTCCCAATTCAAACACCCATAGGTGGGGGCCGAGTTTTATTTTTCACAAGAGCACAAGCATTGAGGCTTTTATGTCATGTGACATACAACTGAGAAAACAGGGTCAGACAGTCAGCGGCCCACGAAGACCCCCTAGCATGCGGAAAGTCAGAGGTACATGCAGATTCGCATCACAAAAATCCTCCATTCTGCTGGAAATCCTTCCGACTAAACTGGAAATAAAATGTAAGATAAGTCCAGCTGTAGAATTTCACAAATCTCTCTTTTGCACGAGCAAAAGCAGGTAAAACAAACTGAAGACCCTAATACTGGTGACCCTTATAAAATAAACCCTGTCATAAGTAAAATCTCCTACCCTGTAAGTTAAGGGTCACGGTCCTCTGCGTTTCCACAGCGACCTCTCCATGGCGACCGCGGGGGCCAGCGAGCGCACCTGGACGAAAGAGAAACACATGGAGGTGCTGAGGATCCCCTCATGGGGAGGGACAGGAAGGTTCCAGACCAGAGGTTCACGATTTGGGGTGAGGTACTTTAACAAGGGGAAGCAGACGTTTGATTGTGGTGGTGTACCGGGAGCACTTTGACCTCTGACCTTTAACCCTGGCCTGTACGCAGAAATCTGGTCTCATGCTTGAAATACAAATAAACAAAACCGCTTGGTTAGATTATACTTCTCTACGGTTCTGGCTGGAGACCCAGACGGGCATCCCGCACCCTGACAGGAAGCAGGTGCTAATGGCTGAGGCAGGGAGGCAGAGACGGGCATCCCGCACCCTGACAGGAAGCAGGTGCTAATGGCTGAGGCAGGGAGGCAGTGTGACTTGGCTGATCATCAGATCCAGCAGGAGCCTCTTCACCTGAACCCTCAGCGCCGCTGCGCTGCTCCTGACGGCAGCTACCATCTCCACCCCCTCCCCCCGACAAAACCCCTGGATAACTGGGTAATTGATTCACATCTGGAAACATCTGACACGGGTGATTACCTAGGCTTCCAGTAACGTGGCTCCCCCCACCGCCCCACCCCCGACCCAGATGCGCAGTCACATTTATGGCCATGCGCAGATAATCGAGTTAAAGGCGCAAAAGCAGGCCAGCATAGTAACCCACTGCCTTTCCCACACGTGCCATTTTTAACGTTGTTTACAAATGACAGTTTCCTCATGTGGTCACATTTGTCCCATTTAGAGAGGAAAAAATCCTACAACTTATTCTGTGTCTCGCCTCGTTGAGTTAAAAAGTATCAAAGATTTTTCGTAGTCTTCACAGCAAGAAGTAGTGCATCTGTGGCGAGTACGCAAGCAAGCCCCCCCATTTACAACTGTACATACAGTAAAGCCCCACCACACCCCCACCAGGACCTGAACCTGCCAAACTCAGCTCAGATCCTTAACCACAATGCCATCTGCTGGACCAACTTTGAACAGGTCAGATTTTTGGCTGAACCTAAGAACCGCAAACTTGCTGTCGGCGTGAATGCGGGCAGAATCACGTGACATGGGGACAGGAGGATGAGATGGGGGTTTTAAAGGCATGCTGGGAGGGAGATGGGATTTCAGAGTGACAGCAGCTGTTCTGGGGTCAGCACAAGGAAGAGACACAGGAAAATAAAAGTTGGACTACAGCTGGGTTTTGGGTGTGGGGGGGTCTGTTCTGGGATGAAGTAATCTTAACTGAAGCCGGTTTTATTGTTCTAATAAGGTACAGGTCAAATGAACTGGACTTGGGCACCGAGACAGCGTGTCACATGGGGGGGGAGACATGGGGGGTCATGACAATGAGAAGATGAATGGCTAAGGTTTTCTGGGCCAGGTCCTTGCCCTCTGATTGGCTGATGACTAGGGCCAGAACAGCAAAAGCATGAGGCTCGGAGTCAGGTCAGTCGACCCACTGATGCAGTGTACCAGCCTGCCCCCACCCCCCACCCCCCTCCTCCCTCGCCCCTCCCCTCTCCCCAGGTCAGTGGGGACATTCCGGAACCTTCTCTGGGCCGCACAAAGACTTAGCGGGGAGTCTGCAAATTGGCTCTGGCAAACACAGACTCTCTGGCCCATCGCTTTTAGCTGTGCCTGGCGAGGTGACCAACCTGGGGAGGACGCCCCACACGGATCTGCCTGGACTCGGGCATGCCTGGACTGGTTGGATAAAGCCCTGTCCATTTTATGGTGCATTCAGTGGGGGGCGGGGGGGTTATTGCGGTAATAGCCCCACTCTGAGCTTGAGTGCAGAGGAACAGATCAGGATCCCGGATTGACCCCCACCTAGTTTGGGTTGATCCGTTTGCCAAGTTTGTGTCAGTTAACTGAGGAACATACTGAACAACCAGCGACCCTGGACTGCTGACCTTCTCTGAGACACACACACACACACACACATTGGGTAAACATGTCTTTATGGGGACCGCTCACACACACACACACACATACGCTCACACACACACACACGCACGCACACACATACACATGCACACACAAACATATTCTGTGGGCTTTTTCAGCATCAGGCTGAATCAGGGAAGGTTTTTGAGCAGCAAAAGCAAGCAAATGAAATTAACACGTCGAAAAAACCTCATGCGTCATTGCACAGATTTAGAAATTCAGCCGAAAAAGCCAAGGTCCGCATCTATGTGGAAATAAAACTGCAGGCAGCCGCGCATCACGGCCCCCGGAGGCGGGGAACGAGATACTTCCATCTCTCGCGGCCTGAGAACTGGGGAAGAGAAACTACAAAGCCGGCCGCTGCCCCCCCTGCAGAGCATGTGACACGGCTGCAGGTTCAAGCAGAGGCACTGAACCTCACATGGGGGAAACATCACTTTACCTTACCAGAATGTCAATCACATAAAAACCCTGATGTGATTAAACATTGTATGGATGCCAACACTCTTTGATTTCCAGAGAGCCACAGTCAAGACCATTACCTGCCCCAATCACCGTGGTTACGTCTATGACATCACATGCTCAGTTCTCCATGATGCCATGGTGACGACAGATTGCTGTTGCCATGGGCACGGACCCCATGGAGGCCCAGAAGTATTTGCTCAGTTCTCCATTTTTTCTTAAATCTTACGTAAAAGCTGACTAAGTGGTTTCCGTGAGTCTTCCAGCAGGCTGAGCCTGATGGTCGGTGCTGGCTGACCCCCATCCCAAGAGAGGAGTGTGCCTTGGAGCCAAGGCTATGATTAGTTAAGGGGGCGGTAAATGAGGTGAGGGCAGGGAGGGTCAGGCAGTCCCAGGGTCCTGCTGGGACGAAGGCACGCATCTAGTTGGTGGAAGCTTCTGGAAAGAACGGGAGTGTCGAGCACAAGGGCCGCAGGGCTGGGGATTATGGGAGGAGGCAACGCAAATAAACAGATCAGAGCTTCAGGCCCATGTGCTTGACGAGGGCCGAACCCTTCTGGGGGCAAATTCCCTAAGAACATCTGCTTTCCATTCCAGTGTTTATCATTTCAGATCAAATCAGATTAAAAAGTTTAATATTCAAGGCAGCACCAGATGGACGGAGGGTGGTGGCCGTTGTTTGTTTGATACACCCCCCCCCCCCCCCCCC